CCTCCTTTCACAGGAAATGGAACGTGGTGTTGAAAATAATTGCCTATGCCGTTCTGCAAAAAAAGGCTTGTTTCAGACACTCATCTCATCACTCTGTCGGTGGGTTTAAATGCGTGACCTGTTATTACTGCGTAACGACACGTGATGCTGATGTTCAGGATTACAAAACGTGTTTCCTTGAAGATAGATTTCTTTAAGCCCATTCTCCAGCTGAGTTAATGAGTGAAATAGAGAGTGTGGAAACGCTCTGTGAAGGGGCCGGCGCGCTCATTGCTCTGTAATGAGCGAGGATCTGCTCTCCGTCCCTGTTGTATTGCGCAGATTATTTTCAATTAAAGGAATAAAGTCTGCCGTGCCGAGGCAGAGGAGGCTAAGTTATCAGCCTGCTTTAGATTGCACCCCAAGGCTGCTTCTTCAACTGGATGGATGTCACGAAGTTGGGTCAAATGTTATTACAGCTCGTGGTGCCTGAATCTGGCATCTACTACACACCTTAACCCACCCCCCCAACACACACACACACTCACACACACACTTCCCCTGCTCTAAACCGTGTGCTCTGTTCCTCTGGTTATCTTTTTTGTTTTTTTCCCCTTTAAATGAGGTATTGTTAATCTTCCTGGCAGTCAGAAAAAAAAAAAGCACCAGCATTTCCTACTGGCCTTCTGGAAGGTCCCGTTCTATTGTGGTACGCTAAGATCTTGAGGAGCATTTCCTGCTTGTTCTACCGGGAGGTTTTCAATAGGTTTTTTTTTCCTAGTGATAGTAAGGTTTTCGCCTTTTATGTCTCCCTGCTCGGACGCTGTTGTATTCATTAAAAGGTTAATTGCAACGGCGCTATCTCCACTTCCCAAATACAGAGAGAGAGATTAAAAAGCTGTTGTGCATATGAGTGTTTTAAGAGGAAGAGGGATCATTTTGCTGCTATCTCTTAACTTCTTAGATCAGTGTCTGAATGTTCCTCTGTGCTGGAGCCATCAGGCTTCTAACCCAACGCTTAAACCTCCTATTAAACCCTTTTGGAGAGGGACTTGAAATGAATTATCATGTTTTCCCTGCTTTGTGTGTCGCTGACAGAGTGGTCCTCATCCGAGTGTTAAAAAAATGCAGTGTGGTTGATCCTCTTCTATGTTGCGAGCCTCTTTAATATTTCTGCTGAATTCCAACGCACCGCATCTCCGTATGTTTAATCAAATGTGCTTTCATTTTCTATTATTATGCTTAGAGTTCTGATTATCTCCTCTGAAGAGAGGACATGCGAATCCCAGACAAATGACCCCAGACCGACGTCTGAAAGCTGGCAGCAGCTTCTGAAGCATCACGCATCCACGTCTCTCTAAAAAATGAATGACATTTATTCCTGCATAATAGATGGAAGGGGGTTTAAATTTTCACAGCTAGTCGTTGGTGAAGTCATGTCGTCTCATACTTTTTCTCTTTAAGCAGTAACAACTTTTTGTCTTTATACATTTAGATCTCTTACATCAGTCGTGGATGGAGATTTACAGATAAATCCTTCTGTGAATACAGTATTCGCTCTGTGTATGTATTATGTAGCTCTTCTTTGCGAACTCCTCTGTCGTGCCTCTGAGGCCCGGATTGCAGCTGGAGTGGAATAATCGTCCTTTATTCATTCTAGCTTGCATGGGAAACAGTGTTCTCGGTCCAGTCTTTCTCTTTCAAGTTAAGCGCTGTGTTAAATTCATATTCCCTGGCTCGGCTTCTTTGCATATTCCTGTGTATCTCGCTTTCTTCTCGCAAAGTCTGTAATAACAACTCTGTATTTTGGCCTCATTTGACCCCCCAAAGCTGTGAAGTTATGCAGGTAGGCCTTCCTTTTGTGTAAACTGTTGCATGCACATCCTCCCGTCTGCTTGAATACACCTTGGTGGGAATTTTGGTGTGACGTTAGCTTAGTCATGGCTCTTTAGATCCACAGTTTGGGTCATAATGCTGATTTTTGAGGCAACATTTCAAAAGTTCGCTTTATTCTCAGTCGTCTGTTAGACGGAAACACAGCTTTTGTGTTCTTCTTTTTTGTACTGGAAGTATTTTGCGTGGATTGCATATTATTTGCATCATCTTTTGGGGCTCAAAGTTAAAAAAAAAAAAAAGTACATCAATGAACTGACTCTGAAAAGGATCAGCTCCAGACTTTCCCACTGGTACATGATTATAACAAAAGAATGCTTGGACCTGCGTGGGCTGTTAAAGTTTTGACAGTCCGTCTTAAGCCTGAAGTTGTAAATTGCCTCCTAAACTGTATTAAACCAGCCTTTTCAAGAGAGAGAGAAGCTTTGTGCTCAGCTCTAGTCTCTTCCTCTAGTAGAACCGTGCTGTCTGGGATTTCCTGGTTGGCTGTGGGCTTACATCCCATGGGAATTTTTCTATTTTAGTATATTTTTTTAGAAGGCTCAGTCTCTTTCCAGTGAGCCGGTTCTGCATGTTTCTTCTATCCCCCCCCCCTCCTTCATCAGCATCTACTGTACTATCATCTGAGTGTAATGATATGTTATACTCTGCGTGGATTAGTGCAGGTCATTAGCGAGCGCAAAGTGTAGAATTACAATCAGTCCAGTGTTTAGACGAGGCTGCCTATAATTGTAGAGAGGGCGTAGACACGTGCCGGCTAAGTCCATAGGTCTGTAATCTGATTCCTTTTTCTCGTTTCCGATGACGATTACGCTCTCCGAGTTTGCACGTCCTCTTGCAGGAGGTTATGTATGCTAATGAGTCCCCGCTAAATGATGCCGCTGTTTATCCCGTTTGCAGAGAGTCATTTGCATGCCGCACTTGAGGGAGAATGTGGTCCACCTCCTCGCGCTCTTCGTCTTCCTCCTCTGATGGATTCTCCTCACACCCTCCCCTGCTTCCTAATTGACATCAGTTTACCCCAATGTGCAAGAATAGCTTTATGAGTAATCTGAGTTGTCGTTTAGTCCCCACATGCCTAGAAATTGCTCCGGCTCCAGAGTTAGATTGCACAATCATTTCCTCTCGTGGCAGGGATGTGTTTGATGGCCGTCGTTTAGCCAGTGTTTTCCCATGGTGTCGTTTGTGCTCGTTTTTTGAAAATTCTTTCCCGGTGAGGACATTCCCGCTCCTCTCAGCTCCCATTCGCTGGATATTGAAGTGTCACTTTGGCAGTTATTACAGGGGGCAGGCTTTTTTTTTGTGTTCGGCTAAAATATGATGCCCAATCTCTGCTGAGGCCCTAATGACAGTTTAATTGGAGTTACCGCGCCGCACAGTGACAAGAACACTCCTGACGCCTCAACGCAGATTAATCCCACTTCCCTTTTGATTTCTCTGTTGCTTTCTGCCCATGTAGGTAGCCTTTGTGTTTCGGTGGGGCATGGCTGAATACATTTCCTGAGGTCTTTGTTCTATTGTCAGGCCCCCGGCTCATGTTCTGGTGCATTCTCCGGGCTCTTTGGACTTGTTTGGGGGCATAACAAAATGCTCTGTGGCTATACGCGGTAAAAAAAAAAAAAAAAAGCACACATAATTGGAGAACAAAACGATACACAACTAATAGAATCAGGTGGAACTAAGCGTCACAATCTGTGCGTTCTACTAAGTAATGACTTAGAGAAGGATAGAGACCAGAAGACGTGTGGGTTTTCCAGTGGTGAAGAATAACTTTAGCAGCATAAGCAACCCAGAGCTCACTAAACGTGGAACCTCGTGAAACCGGGCCTTCAGGTGGCCGGCGGTTGGGGTTGAAAGTGGTCGATTCAGGTCTGGAGCCATCAGCATGCCGGAGAGGTTTCGGTCGGTGCCTGCAGCGAGGGTCTGTTTTAATTAAGCAGCTGTTCACCTCTGGAGAGCTCCGAAGTATCCCAGCATGCATTAGCGCTGCAGGGCGCGCATACAGATGCTAACATGTGACATTCCCTCCGCTCCTATGCCTTTTTTCTTCCATAATTTTCTCTGTCTCTTTGTGTGCATGCCCTGTAATCCCCCCCCCCACCCCCCACCTGTTTGTTTTTTGCGTGGGGGCTCTTGACAGATGTTCAACATGCTGTTCACCTCTCACTTAATCAGAGAACAAGTGTCACCACCAGTCAGCCAGTCAGGATTTTATTGTCTTTGGAATATAACCTTGACATGCTGACGGGCCCCTGGCAGTGGACGATCGGTGCCATGTTTGCTGGTAAATAAAAGGGAACGGCCTTCGTTGTTGATCTTCAAGAGGAAAAAAATACTTCAACAGCGAGCACCCTACCCTATTATTAAAAGGTCTATCCCAGTCTCTTGACATCAGACTTGATTTTATTTTATTTGAAGCCACAGTTGGCAGAGGATGGAGAAGTGACTCAAACACTGTGGTTAATTTTACATTTGAGATGGAAAGGAAGCACCCCTTGGCACAGGCTCTCTCAGTCCAGACCAGTCCAGCAGTGTTTTCTTCAGCCACCGAAATGTTTCAAACACATTTCATCCCCTCACTTTTCAGGTTTTTCCAATCATGACATGTGGGACACAGAGTGTCATGCCACTCACTGTAATAAGATAATAACAAAAGGATGTAATTGATTTGATATATTTTTAATGAATTTCATATTTTAGATCTACCAGGTCTAACATCTCATTCTCCCATTCCAATGACTCAGTCACTTATTTCAGTTGAGCACATCCATAAAAAGTCAAAAGCACCGGGATATTTTATCACACCGGCTGTCTTCTCGTGGTCTAAGGAAATATGTTTGTGTCTGTCACAGTTGTTTTGGATTCATCCGTCATTACTGATTTGTCTCCGGTGGGCGGTAGACGTCTGTTGATACGGCAGCTTACCCGGTGCCAGGCCCCTCCGTTAAGGAGTCAGTCCGCGTGGGTGGACGTTCTGGATGTGTGCGATGCTCCTTCTTACACAACCCAGTGGCACATAATTAGCGCCACAAGGGAGCAAAATTTGTTATTGCCTTTTTCTTTTCTTTTTTTTTTTTTTACCTCTTTCTGTAATATCTCTTATATTGTCCTCTCTCATTTTTCTTAAGCAATCTATAACTACGATGCCCGGGGAGAGGAAGAGCTGTCACTGCAGATTGGAGACACGGTGCACATACTTGAGACGTATGAAGGTGAGATTAGACCTTCTGATGCCGCCTATGAGGCCAGGAATAAAATCAGTTTTTCCTTTTCCCATTTGTAGTTTTCCCCCCTGCATAATGGTAATAACGCCAGAAACAATTCTTTTGTTCTGTGAAGGTTGCTGTATGTCTGTCATTTTTATGATTTATTCTAGAATTGTTATTAAAGCTAACATAGATGATGCTTATTAATAATGATTATTTTACCCTAGACTGGTACAGAGGTCATAGGCTGAGGAGAAGATCCAAAAAGGTGAGTAATATTAATTCTAATTGTAACCACATGCATTACAAACACAAGTCCAAGTTACATAACAATGCCCCCCCCCCTCTCCTTCCAGGGCATATTTCCTGCTTGTTATATACACCTGAAGGAAGCCACAGTTGAAGGCATTGGGTCAGTATTTCTGAATTTCTGTCTCTTTGTTTTCATCTCATTAGAATGTCAGGTAATGTTTTGTGTCCCAGATGCTGTTTGAGGCCAGTTGGATCCTCACTTGATCTGAGGTGACGTGTGTTCGTTACCGGACTGCGTGTTCCTCTGTCCTGTTGTGATCCGTTTGTCTCCTCCTGTTTGCTCAAGACCGACCTGAAGTCCTTGAGTTCTGAGGATTAGCGGGGTGACGTAGATGTTTCGTCACCGCGGTCCGATGTTTGGGATTCATGTCTCCCCGTTGATAGATTAAGACTCGGTATTTGCTCGGAATCTTTTAGATAAAATAATTTGTCCTCACACACCCCAAGAAGGTGTTTTTCTGTCATTACAGCTGATGGCAATGTTGTGCGTTTGTTGCTTCATTACCAATTGACTTTCTTGTTTTTAACAGTTGCTAACATGTCTGGACTGAGCTGTACATAAAACATCCACATCCCCAAACATTTTAACAGGAAGAGACACTGCAGCTGTCTTCTCTCCACTAGTGCTTTAAAAAAATCCGATGATCCTTTGGGTTCGGTGGTCTCCATCGATCAAGTTATTTTCAGGAAGTTTGGGCCAACATTGATCTGTGGCTCACTGATCAAACCGGCCTTAAATTAGAGCTAATAGATTTGGGCGAAATGATGAAATTGTTCTAAATTTTTAAACAGGAAGCGGGTTAAGTTCCAGGAAGGCATAAAACATGGAGGATGTGCAGTATTTCTGTTTGGTGCTACAGACTGATATGTGGGACTCCTTTACCTTCTGTCCTCACACAACTTTTGGCGTCAGCGTCTCAGTATGCAGAAGAAAGGAAAAGAAACTGACACGGAGTTACTGCTTTGAATAATTTTGGCTGTCACTGCAGGCAAAAGGAGACGGTCATTCCCACCGAGCTGCCCCTGGTTCAGGAGGTCACCACAACTCTGCGGGAGTGGGCGACAATATGGAGGGACTTGTATGTGGTAAGCCAACCAATGCTTTCCTAATGAGAAATCATGCTCCTACATTTTAAATGCCACAGTATTTCTCTGTATTTGTTAATTTGGCCTCTTTCATCATCTATTTTCTGTCCCATTCATTTGAACCAAATACGGTATTTCACTTGCTTTCATGTGTTTACAGTTAAACGAGTCTTTCCTGAAAATGTCTTAGACTTAGTGATATCAATGCTAAGGCTTTTTGTAGTTGCTTGTTTGCGAGTATGCTCACACGTTTGACCACACGTTTTACACGAACCTGGGTCAGACTTCCTCCTGGTTATGATGTAGGTGGCTGAGTTTCCTCTTCCGTCTCAGCTGTACTCGGTTCTGTCTGACAGGGGGACAAGCGCGAGATGTTCAATTCCGTCCGGGACATGATCTACGACCTCATCGAATGGCGGTCGCAGATCCTCTCGGGCACTCTCCCGCAGGATGAGCTCACCGAGCTCAAACAGAAGGTCACCTCCAAGATAGACTACGGCAACAAGTGAGCGCCCCGGTCATTGAAGTATTTTAGATTTGTCCTTTCCTCCAGAAGGATTATACCCTCTTATCCTCAGAAAAAAAAAAAAAATTGCTCCGTGGAATAGGTCAGCAGTGTCAGTCAATAGGAAATGACAGGTCATCACTTAGCTTGAGAACAAACTGTGGGGATTTAGCTTCAGCCAACTGCAGCGTATTCCATCATGAAATGACAGTTCTCACAGTGTCTTTAGCGGTCCCGGAAAATTGTTTGAAAATGAAAATGGTGAAGCTCTATTCTTTTCCTGTGATGAAACTTTAAACCTTTGGCCAGGTAGAAAAATGACTGCCTTTATGGAAGCAGGGAGGGAGAGCCGATCGGGAGCACATGTTCAGCATGTGTTGTCTCCACTGAGTCCCTCCAGAGCTGAATGAGTAAAAGAAAACAGGAGCGCTTTGAAAGAAAACCGTGAAGCCGAGGGAATATCAGGACAAGAGAAGGGAGGGTTTGTGCTGTGAGAATACATGCCGTTCTGTCTGTGTGAGGGACTTCTGCTAAAATGACACAGTGTTTGACAACTGTTTTGTGTTACGTATGTCCGTGGGTCTTAGATATATATGTCCATGTTCTGTATGCAAGGTACCTGGATCTTGACCTGGTGGTCAGAGACAAAGATGGAAACATACTGGACCCAGAGCTAACCAGCACCATAAGCCTTTTCAGGGCACACGAAGCAGCCTCCAAACAAATTGAGGACCGGATCCAAGAGGAGAAGGTAAAAACAGGGATATAATAAATGACATATAGGTGACGAGCACCATTGTAATGGACGTGATTTGTATAGTTCTTAAGCTTTTACTTTGCTGCACTTAATCTCAGTTAGTCAAATTGGTGCCACTACGGTGTATGCAAAAATAAAAAATTCAAAGTAGATTTTTTCTGTTTTCTTTCTGCAATTTGAGAAACAAGGACATCCAGTGCAATGTGCTGGCCTTTTACTGAGACAGGTGGATCGACAAGGCGTTAATTCTCTCTCCAAAATGGTGACTAACTCGAACAAAACCACTGAGCACATTAGTTTTAAGATGATTTATTTACAGAAAATATTCATGATGTGATATTGTTGAAGAAATTTAGAAGCACAGAAGAACTAAGCTGGTATCGGTCCCCTAGAAGCAGACATGATTCACCCATGTTTATTAAATATTCATGGCATATGTCCACACTTTGTCTTCAAGCACTCTATAATAAGATGCTAAATTCATAATTGAATCAACAACTTTGAGTTGCTCAGGCGATGAGGTAACAAGAACCCGGAACATTTCCACCATCAAGTTATAGCTGCTATGTCTTTGATCTGCATCAAACATTTCTACTGGTGCTGTGACTAAGCTGCTGTTTTAAAGTTATTTTTCCACAGTAGATTATTTCAAAAGGCAAAAGTACGCTATTGTACTTTGCATTTTTTGTGTGGCAAACTTGATTTTTAAAATGAGTTTTCCTCTTTTTTCCTGGCTTTCTCTTAAGATGAGTTGGTCTGTGAAAATAGACTTTTTTACATGCAGTTATTTCAAAACTAACATTGAAGAGATCCTGAATCACAACTTCAGGGTTAATGAAGACTTTGTTTTCTTTTTTGTGTCAAATGATCTTTGTTTCACTGGTTTTAAACACATTTCCATTTCCTGTGATATCTGCAACACTTTTGAAAGATTTATTTCCATGAAATTTCGATCTTTTAAAAATAACTCTCTGCATATTTTATGGGAAAAGAGGGCAGCCTATTCCTTCTACACTGGCAAGAATAGAACATAAGCACCCTGGTGCTCTGCTGTGCGCTGATATTACTTGGTTGAACAGAACCAAAAATAAATGGATATCAGCATGGTCCAAATGTTCCTGTCCCAACTACCTTATTATTCCATGCAGAGCCAGAGCCAAAGAACAGAAAGAGAAAAAGAAAAACTGTTATGTTTCGAATTCTGTTCTACTTTTTTCGGTCAAGCTGCAGTCTCTCCTTGACATTCCCTTTGTCTGATACATGGTGGACATCAAAGACCTTACCCGGTGAATTGAGAGATAACCAACCTGGAATAAAACATAAAGACTTTATTCATTTTGGCGCTGCGCTGTGGTGTGGTGGTTAGTATAGTAGTAGTGCATTGAGAATGTTAGAAATCCATCACTTCCGCCATCTTACATTTGTACACTGTATGCTCAGGGATATGAACTCATGTTTGTCAATTACACGTTTTACGTGTCATGTTGGGAAAGCAAGACCACCCCCGACATGCACAGATTCTTGTCTGCCTGTCTACTTTAGAGTAAGAGACTCAACCAGATTCCCAATCTACTTCACTTGGCTCTTGAGTGGTATCCCGCACCTGAATGTCAGTTGGCAGAATGCAAAGAGTGGCCAGACGCTAAGTGCCCCGCAGTCATGTGGTCTCATCTCTTGTGACCTTTTCAATCGGAGGTCTTTATTGCATATGCATGGGAAATAAGAAATTGCCCAGGTCAACATGATGAATATTGATGAGGGGGGCCTCTGCATACTTTTGAAGGGCACCCAGAGATCCATGCCAAAGGTTCCTTTTTTTTCCCCCTCAGATCGAGGCCCTGGAGATCAAGTAGAAGCAAAAGGTTTTTCATTCAGTATGGCGCTCGTCAAATCTAAATTCTAGATTTGAATAGATTTGTTGAAATTGTAAGACAGAGTGTGACATTTTGTGAGAGGTGTAGTTTGCTCTGGCGTGCGCGTCGACACTAGCCGCATGTGTCAGAAATCAGTGTTCCCAGTTTTCACTGTGTTGCCTGTTTCTCTGACAGTCTCAGAGGCAGAATATCGATCTGACGAGACAGGCGAAGTTTGCCTCCACGCCAGCTTTTGCCCTCTTCGTGACTCTGAAGAACGTGGTGTGTAAAATTGGCGAGGACGCAGAGGTGCTCATGTCGCTCTACGACCCAGTGGACTCCAAGTTTATCAGGTAGGCCCCCAGAGGAGGAGCCCCTTTCACTCTTCTTTCTCTTTGTCATTGGTTGTTTCCCTCTGTCTTTCCTATTTACCCCTCAACCACCACCTCCACTGTCTAGACACGCACCATGCAGGAATGTGACCAAAACAAGTAAAACCAGCTAGTCATGGGTTTGGTATTTTTTCTGGAATGTTACGAGTAAACAAGCAGAAGTGGAGATGGTCACTGTCCAACCTCAGTTGTTGCGTTAGTCGTGCTTTTTTTCCACATAATTTCCCCATCTGAGCTATTTTAATGTTTTGAATAAGGAAAATGCTCTAATTAATTTTTAAAGGCGGAGTTACGTGATGGCTTAAGGCCCCAGGAAGCAAACTCATCCAAAAACTCAATGTATAATTAAGAAGACTTCACACAATGAACATTTTGACATAACCCTATAAGTGTTTGGTCAAAATCCAATCAAAGATGTGGAGGGGAATTTTGATTGGATGGCTAAGGTAGCTTCCAGCCAAGGAAGGTGGTCCATAATCCGCTTTGATACGTTCAAATAGATTTTTTAAATCGGTTTTAAAAATTGCTGTAATATGAGAAAGAAGCTTTGCCATCGATTTCTGGAGAAAAAAAAAGACATGGTGTTTTTCATGAAAAATCAAAAGCACCAGAGGGAGGGTCAAATATCAATTCCCTATGATTCGATAAAGAAAGCATGAAGATTTTGGACTTAAGAAATAAGAGAATTGCAGACATCCTGATCTTTTTCTCTTCCTTTCAGTGAGAACTACCTGGTGAAATGGTCTAGCTCGGGTATGGTGAAAGACTTAGACCAGCTTCATAATCTGCGGTCAGTTTTCACGGTAAGTTTGTTTTCTCGTGTCTCTATTCTTCTGTTTATCCTGCTCTAAAAGCATGTGGAAGCTCTTTTCGATAGAGCCCGGCTCACTGTAGGCATTAAGTAAGGTAGTCCCCTCTATCTAATGGACAGCCAAGGGCAGAAGGGGTCAGTGTGCAGCCACTGGGGAGCACTTTGCTGGTTTTTTGGGGTATTACTCATAAAAAAAATCTATTTGTGGACATAACAACTTAAGATATTTTGTGGTAAAATGTCTGCCCTTTGTACAAACTCATCTTCACAGTTGAAACTTTTATGAATCAATTGTTTGTGGTGCATGGTTCTGCTATTACAATATTTAAATGCAAGTGGGTTTTTGACCGGATATCTGATTGTATTTGCTTGAGATTTGCTGTAAGTCAGAGTGTTGTGAGGCTGTTATCCTCTCTAACTTTTCCCTCTTTTTTCCCTCCTCAGGACTTGGGAAGTGAAGATTTGAAGAGAGAGAAGATCAGCTTTGTCTGTCAGATTGTCAGAGTGGGACGCATGGAGCTACGAGACAACAACACCAAGAAGCTGACCTCGGGTCTGAGAAGACCCTTTGGAGTGGCAGGTAACGATAACCTGTGTGGCATACGTCGTTTTATCGTTGGAACATAACTTATGTCTTCAGACTTGTGGCCTAAATATGTTTTGATGACATTGCCCCTTTCGTCTCAGTGGTGGTTTGGAGTCTTTGATAATTAGAGCTATTTCATTCAGTCTGCACTGAGCTAAGCTCAGAACCTACACCAGCAAAATTGGAGTTACGTTAAGAACCTGTAAGATGAAGACCAACAAAAGCTTCATGACCGTCATATTTAAAGAAAAAGATAAAAATCCCTGAAATTATAGACTAAATCAGGAGAGAAGAGAAAAAAAAATCTAAGCTGCAGAAGGACTATATGAGCTCTCAGTTTCCTTCAGTTAATTGTTTTAATGCCCCCAGTTGATGTTTTTGAACATTACTTAAGGCACACCACGCAAAAACAAAACGTGGTTTTAAAAATGTCCTCCTTTTTGTTTAAAGAAAGTATTTTTTCCAAGGTCCTCACTCAAGTAAATAAATATATTTGGCAAAACCTCAAATTTCTCCATGAGCTAGTGGGTAGAATTACTGTTTGATTTATCTCCTGTTGGCAAGCTGCCAGACATATAGTAAACTAATTAGACTGGCGTTTTGCC